TAACTAATAAACCTTGTTCACAGAATTTCCTCTGTATTGCAAGCTTATTTCTGAAGCTTGCTGATTTTAGACAGTCAATATTTGAAAACATTAATCCTTTGAGACCTTGAATGTTATTCCTTTATAATTTCTGATGAATTCTACAGTGAAACAGTTCTGAAAGAAGCCAAAGATCTTTCTACTACACAATCCTTCCACCATACTGAAAAATTACTTGTACAACAAGCTTGAATCTTTAATAACAGCTACAGTCAAGAATTGCCTGTTTTTTCTCCAGTGGCTGAAAAAAGAAACCTACAACTAGCTCAGCTGCAGCTTTTTATACTGTATCTACAGATCTAAATGTAGAGCAGTCAGCACACATTTCACATTTACATAGGGACCTTTAGAAAAGACTGATACTGCAGGCAAGCTGTAAGTGCTAAGCACACAAAGAGCTTTGAAAATTAAGCATTTAAAGTGTACAGTTCTCTGCAGGATCTGCCAGTTCTGTGTGGCATTGTTTTAGTTCCATTGCCATGAATGATAAATGACATTTCTTTCAAAATTCAGTATCTGCAAAAGCAAAGACCTGATGCAGATATCATTGTGTGGAAATGCCATAACACTGCAGTATTTGTAGTGGCTTAAAGCCCTGTAACAACCACAATATATTTCTGATTTCCTGCCAGTTGTTATGGTTTTAACCGTGCATTACCATTTACCTGGTTTTTATCATGGACTGATTTTATTATAAAAGGAAAATCTTCTGTTTTGGAGAAAGCAAGGAATAATATTTTAGGCAATTTATTACCAATAATACAATCCTATTTTCACTGTCTAATACACAATTAACAGAATAAAATTTCAAAAAGTTAAATTTCAAAAAGTGTTTGCTAAGAAATTTGACAACAATTTTCACCCACCAATTAGGGATTTACCAGTTCTTATGGCATGAATGTGTTACCTTTGTTCAGTGTCACATGGGACCAAAAATTCTCATTTTCCTGTTTTCAGAACCTCTTTTAAATGCAAAAACTCGAACTTTTAAATGCAGACTGTTTCCTGTACAACACAACCAATGAGGAAAGAATATTTACAGGAAAAAAAACCACAGGGAGAAGAGGCTGGAAAATCTTAAAGTCCTTTTTATCACTAGGTCAAGATTTGCCTCTTAGTGGAAAAGTCATTGAGACCTGTTCAGAAACCTCTTTAATTCCAGCTTCTTTGCTGCTGGCATATAATTACATCAAAGTAATTCCAAAGTAACCACCAAATGTAAGCAGACACAGTGAAACAGTGTTAACCCCAACCATTATTTTATTTTCCTTTTGTGGAAACAAATAAACTTTCTTCCCCGTCTGAAGAAGTTTTGGAATAATATAGAAATAAAAAATCAATGAAATATCCTAGATTTTATAGTGAACAAGAAATGTAATCTAGATAATTATAAACTAAGGTACGGTATACATTAGTTTTTGCATATTTATGCTTATTCGTATTTGGCTAAAAGTTTAATGATCCCATTTTACTTTTTAAATAGAGGCCTTCTGCCTTGCCATGGATGAAATACCATTGATACACTCCCTCTCAAGATCCAGGAGACATTTTCAGCCTTCTGTCAAATCCTTCATAATTTTTATCCATTATCTATATAAACATTACTGCATAATATAATTAATTTGTCCACACATTCTTCCTGTTTCTTTGATTTTCAAGCTCTAAACCAGCTCCCAAATCTAAAAACTAAGATATTCAAATTCTAAAGATTAACTAAAAATATGCTGAATGTGTAAAATTTTGAAAAGTGATGTAACAGCAACAACACTCAAACAAAACAAACCAAAACCGTCCTGTGCTTGAAACACATGTGCAGGGCTTCTCAGATTGTGCTGCTGAAAGCAAAATTGTTCATCATTTGCCAGATTGGAAAGTAAAGCAGTAAGTTTTCTTCTTTAGAAAGTATATTTTTTAAAAATTAAATATTTTTGCAAGAAGTCACACTGAATATACAACATATATTTTCATCTACATATTATATATATATATATAATTCTTCACTGACAGATCTTTGTTTTCCTAAAATTTATTACCTCTAATAATAATAATATAATAATAATAAATAACTTTCTTCTCTAATGTCTGAAACACTGGTATGCTGATGTTCCAGAAACACCCATGCAACCATTTAAAATAAACCTTTAGTGCAGCACAGAATCATCCTCAGGGGAGCCACATGAAAATAAAGGTTGATTTCTCTCTGTGAGGAGACACAATGTGTCACTACCAATCCTGCTGTGCAATGCTGCTCTTTAATAATTTATTGGAGTCTCTGGGCTCTTGGTAAGCTGACAAATTGAATATGGAAGCACTGCTCAGGTGTTGAATAAACATGAGCTAAAGTATTTTTCCAAACAAACAAAACTGCTGCAAAAGAGTGGCCCGGGGCAGATTAGATTTTTTTTTTTTTTTCAGTAATTTATTGACAGCAGCACTATTTTTGGTGCTAGTTTCTTTAGTAAATTAGATAAAATGCTACTTAAAACATGCCTACATTTATCAAATCACCCCTAGATTTCTCTTGTTCTACAACTCCTCATTTAACCTGCAGAGGTGGATGAAGCACTGGGCTAATGGATCATCAAGACTTGGAACTGGTGACAAGCAAAATGTAAAAAAAAGTCATAAAAAACGACCACCTTATCCATATTTTTCCACCTTGTCATCTCAGTGCATATCTCTCTTTCCAGGCTTTTAGATTATGAGGAAAACCAGTGTTTGAATTTTTTGATAACTCTTTGAACGACCTTTCAGTGATCATTTACACTCTCACAATCTATTTATCTTTTAGCCACGCATTGATATAAATATAACTCAAAACATTGCTGTTTAGTTTCCTTAAAATAAACCTTGATAAAGCTTTGATGAGGGAGATTTTGGAATCCAAGCAAGCAAATTGCTTCTTTCTGTGTATTTCCAGATGTGTGAGACAAGATATTCCTTTATCAGAGCCATGTTGGCTCTTCCCAAGAATATAATACTCAGGTAGCCATCAAAAATATCACTTATTGTAGTTTCTCTTACTTTATTAAGGCTTGCAGAACTCCCCTTCAGATCTCTGCTAGAATTCCTTGTTAAAAAATTGGATTTTTATTACTTCCTAGTCCCCCAAATCTGCTTGGGGCTCCTTCCCCTGTTCCTCCAGAAAGACGGGATAAGTACCACCTAATTCTGCAAATTTTCTGCTTATTTTCCATGTTCATGAGCACTTCCACCTCCACCTTAAACACAAGATAATGCAAAGAAAAGTTTGGGGATGGGAACCTCTTCACTGCCTGTAAAGAACTCCTCTAGATCTTCCTTTTTTGTTTTTTAGTTGGTTTTTTTTTTGTTATGTTCTTGTATTTCCTAAGTACTAATTTAGTACTGGAATCAGACTCTCTTCTCTGGCACCTGCTTTTGGTACATTTGAAGAAATATTTCTCATTTCTGTTGTTTGTAAAAATACAATTACACAGCCAGCACTGCAGCTCCTCATTGGCTCACCTGCTACAAAAGACACTCTGAAGAAAAGCAGTTTAATACAAAATATAACTATAAGGTTCCCAAATATACATAGCAAAAAAATCTCACAGAAAAATGTTTGGCATATTTTTTTTTTTTCCCTGAATACTTCCCATCTGCTCAGTGAATATGATGCACAGATCTGCAGTCACAGCTTAGAGACAACTCCAGGGAAAAGTTACTTAAAAAGGCTCCTGAGAATATCCTGTGCTTTCTTTGGATAAATATGAACCAAAGTGTGTGGATTTTCAGGATGCATATGCATAAATAGCTCCTGAAGTGAGGGTATGTAAGAATTTCATTTGGAAGCAAAGGCAAAAAGGAAAAAAAAAAGCTTTTTTTTTTACTTTTTTTTTCCTGTTTTTATCCATCACATTTGAACCACAGAGATCATGTGGATGGATCCTTTGAAAACTGAGATCTTGGAGGTGAGAGCAGTACTACCAAGGAGTTTTAATGAAATCTGTACTTTTATACTGAAATGAAAATGTTCATGCAGGAAATAGAACTCGCATTTTAATGAAATTAATATAATAACACTTCAAAACAATTTTGCTATGTTGAGAATTTTCAGACCTTTCCAATTTGTGAGTTAAAGGCAGAATCAGAAGGATCCATCCTAAGCAGAGCACAGTGGGGCAGACATGAAATTTCAGGGGTGGAAAAACCACACCCTCATAGTGATCACCTACCACTTGTAAAACAGCAACATTGGCCCATTGATTTACCTTTTCAGCTATTATTGCTAAAAATTGTCTCAGCTGGTAGAAATACTGTTCTTGAGCACAATTTTGTGTCTGTGGAGAGGAACAGAAACACAGTATTGGTAAAAAATTAAGTTTCTTTCTGGATTATACTGTCAGGAGGGATGATTTTTAAAGACAGAATGAGAACAGTAATGGATGAGTTTGAAGTTTTTTTCATAGTCTTAAGGTGTGCCGGGGGAGGTTTAGGTTGGACATCAGGAGGAATTCCTTCACAGAGAGGGTTGATTAGACACTGGAATGGGCTCCCCAGGGAGGCGGTGGAGGGAAGACTGGGGGTGGCACCCAGTGCCATGGTCTGTGGCCCCGGTGGTGTTCCTTGATAGGCTGGATCCAGTGATCTCAGAGTTTTTCCCAACCTAGAAAACTCCGTGATTCAGCGATTTAATGACTCTGGAAATCCAGCGCCGCCCCCGCCCCTCACTGCAGGCCCCGCCCCTCACTACAGACCCCGCCCCTCACTGCAGGCCCCGCCCCCTCCGCAGTAACCACGCCCCCTTCTCCGCCCCCCGCAGCAACGCCTCGCTTCTCCCTCCCCGTCCCCGTCGCTAGGGGGCGTTCCCCGCCGGTCACGCGCCAGGGCGCGGAGCCGAGCCGCGCTACCACATCGCTCCGCAGTGTCCCCCGCGCTGCGCTCGGCGCTCGGCTGCTCGGGCCTGCGGGAGCGGCGTGAGAGCGATGCTCGGGGCCGCCGCCGCCTGAGGGCCGGGTCCGCTCGGGTCCCGGCGGAGCGGTGGCGGGGCGGCCGCCATGGGGCTGGGATCCAGCTCCGAGGGTCCCGGCGGAGGCGCCGAGGGCTTCCACGTGCACGG